GAGGTATGGGCAAAAGGCACAGAATACAGGCTACAGTTGTTTCCACCCTGAAGCAACCAAATCAGGAAGTTCTCACTGCTTATTTCAAAAGCAGTGTTGGGAATTTGGAGCATGGGAACTGAACTAGCTAGACTTGTTCAAGAAGGGCTCTCGGCTTCTAATTCCAGGTCGGCCTAGTGTGAAACAATTCTAATTATTAAAAAAAAAAAAGGCAATAATTTTTCCCATGCTCCTGACCGGAATCAAACCCGGGACACTTCAGCCGCTGAGCCAAACCGGCTAGGGCTCAATGAGGACTTTTAAAAATGGTTTGGAAACATTTAAAGGGAATAAGTATCTGTTATACAAAATAAAGCACATGGAAGCAGATAAGAAATCAATGTTTCCATTCACCTTTTCCCCTCAGCCCATCCTTCTCCCCTGAGGAAAACACTGCTGGCATTTAAAACGAGTCCCCTCAGGCCTTATTCTGTGTAATATGAGTGAATAGCAATTGGGTCTTAGAGTGCTGAACTTTATATCCACAGACGCAGACTCCAGAAACTTCTTGGACAACCAGAATATGCTACTGTGTTATTACTACCAAGGTCTGTAGACAATGAAGATGAAATGTTCAGAATAGGCCTCAGAAGGCAATGGAGACCCTGCGGGCTCAAGAGAAACGCTTACCTCTCCCTTAAAGAATCTAAATTGGGGCCTTGCTCATAAGAATTACCACCAGAAATAACTTTTTATGACTTAGCTATAGGGTAGGGCAAGCTTCTAATTACTGAACATGTGCTCTTCTTATCGTCCTTTGAATGACCTTCCTCCCCTCTGAAGCCCCACGATTCTTTCTTACCTCATTCCTTGGCTCAAGGTGCCATATGTATTTCATTTTCCCTTTCTGTCTCTGTCTCTCTCATGTACTAGTATGTGGGTTCTCACATATTTGTATATAATTAACTTTGGTTATTTTCTCTTGTTAATCTGTCTCATGCCGATTTAATAATTAGACCAGCTGGAAGAGCCTAGAAGGGTGGAGGGAAATTTCCTCCTTTGCCCCAAAGGCTCAGCTCTTTGCACTTTTTCCCTTTCACTTCTCTATCCTATCTACAAATGTAAAGTCCTAATGAATATGTCTAAAGAGAACCTTCACTTACTCTGAAACTCAAATGCAGCGTAATTCAGGGTATTCAATGCTCTCCACTCCTCCTCTGCAATCTCATCTGTATCTGTGCAGCCCACTGTAGAACTGAACTCCTAGCTAGACTTGTTCAAGAAGGGCTCTCGGCTTCTAATTCTAGGTCGGCCTAGTGTGAAACAATTCTAATTATTAAAGAAAAGGCAATAATTTTCCCCATGCTCCAAATTCCCAACACTGCTTGTGAAATAACTTCTTTGAGAACTTCCTGATTTGGTTGCTTCAGGGTGGAAACAACTGTAGCCTGTATTCTGTGCCTTTTGCCCATCCTGCCTGTGCCTTTGGCTGGGTCACACAGCCTGCATCAGAGGTTTCCCAGAAGTGGTCCCTCTTCACTATCAAGAGATGATTCAGCATTTCCTTTTTTTAAGGGTCAAATGTTCTCCAGGGACCAAATGTTTGCTGTCTCTCAGTTCTAGCGTTTTGGCTGAAAAGAGAAGCTTGTGAAGCTTGGGGTCGATACCCAAGTTTACTGTTTCTCTCAACGGGGAAGACCCAAGAAGGTGGGAGATTGCTAGTTTATGAGACATTTTGAAAAGGGTTTTGAAAATAATGGCTACCCAAAGGAGGGGCTTCATTCTAGAGCAGCCGTGGGCAAACTACGGCCCGCGGGCCGGATCTGGCCCCTTTGAAATGAATAAAACTAAAAAAAAAAAAAGACCGTACCCTTTTATGTAATGATGTTTACTTTGAATTTATATTAGTTCACACAAACACTCCATCCATGCTTTTGTTCCGGCCCTCCGGTCCAGTTTAAGAACCCATTGTGGCCCTCGAGTCAAAAAGTTTGCCCACCCCTGTTCTAGAGTCATGATCTGAGGCTTCCTGGGCAAAGCAGACTCAAGGGACACCTCAGAGAACAACAGTAGTTTCCTGAGACTCTCACCAAGAATGCTATGGGAATTGAGAAAAAACCTTGGAAAGAGGCCCCAAGGAATCTCAAGTGTGACTGCTGAAGGAAACGCCAGCTTTTCTGGCATAATCTCCATATTTTATAGATGAAAAGAAGGCACAGAGGAGAGAAGACTTGTCAAAGGCTTCTCACTGAGGGCATTTTATATTAGATTTGGCTGCCCTTCATTTATGACACTTCCAAATTCCTTTTTCCTGTAAGCTTTTGCTTCAAAATTGTAAAGTTGTATTTATTGCTTTTCCTACTTCATTTACTGTGTTCATTTTTTTAAAATTAATAATCCTCACCTGAGGATATATTTTTACTGATTTTAGAGAGAGAGAGATGAAGGAAGTGGGAGAGGGAGAAACATAGATGTGAGAGAGAAACATTGCTTGGTTGCTTCTGTATGCACCCTGATAGGAGATCAAGCCTGAAACCTGGTATGTGCCCTGATGGGGAATTGAACTTGAGACCTTGCAGTATATGGGACAATGCACCAACCAACTGAGCCACATTGTCCAGGGCCACTGTGTTAATTTTTATTAATTTTTGTTAAATTTATTGTTAACAGTATTGCAGATGTTCCCCATTTTTCCTGCTTTTCTCCTCTCCACCCAGTCCCCACCCCACCAAGTCCTTCTTCACACAATTGTCTGTGTCCATGGGTTATGCATATATGTTCTTTTGTTAATTTCTTTCTGTCCCCTCCATTCCCCTCCCTTCTGAGATCTGTCATTCTATTCCATTCATCCATGTCTCTGGACCTATTTTGTTTGTCAGTTTATTTTGTTCATTAGATTCCACATATAAGTCAGATCATGTGATATTTGTTTTTCTCTGACTGGCTTATTTCACTTAATCTCCAGGGTCATCCATGCTGTCTAAAAGGGAGAGAACTTTTTTTTTTTTTTTTTTTTTACAGCTGTGTAGTATTCCATGATATAAATGTACCACAGCTTTTATCCACTCATCTACTGTTGGGCACTTAGGCTGTTTCCAGATCTTGGTTATTGTAAATAACACTGCTATGAACATAGGGGGTGCATATATTCTTTCTGATTGGTGCTTCAGGATTCTTAGGATATATTTCCAGAAGTGAGGTTGCTGGGTCAACTGGCAGTTCTATTTTTAATTTTTAAGAAAACTCCACACTGTTTTCCACAGTGGCTGCACCAGTCTGCATTCCCACCAGCAATGCACCAAGATTCCCTTTTCTCCACATCCTCACCAGCACTTGTTGTTTGTTAATTGATTGATGGTAGCCATTCTGGCAGATTTGAGGTGATACCTCATTGTAGTTTTAATTTTCATCTCTCTGATGATTAGTGATGTTGAGCATTTTTTCACATGTCTATTGGCCATTTGTATGTCCTCTTTGGAGAAGTGTCTATTCAGGTCCTTTGCCCATGTTTTAATTGGATTGTTTGTCTTCCCGGTGTTGAGTTGTATGAGTTCTTTGTATATTTTAGAAATTAACCCCTTATCAGATGTATCATTGATGAATATGTTCTCCCATACAGTGGGTTCCCTTTTCATTTTGTTGGTGGTTTCTTTTGCTGTGCAGAAGCTTTTTAGTTTGATGTTGTCCCATTTGTTGTTTTTTCTTTGTTTCTCTTGTTAGGAGATGCATTGGTGAAAATACTGCTACGTGAGATGTCTAAAATTACACTGCTTATGTTTTCTTTTAGGTTTTTTATGGTTTTGTGACTTACATTTAAGTCTTTTATCCATTTTGAGTTTATTCTTGTGTGTGGTGTAAATTGATGGTGTTTACTCCATTGTATGCTCTTGCCTCCTTTGTCAAATATTAATTGACCATAATGGTGTGGGTCGATTTCTGGGTCTCTATTGTGTTCCATTGATCTATATGCCTGTTTTTGTGCCAGTACCAGGCTGTTTTGAGTACAGTGGCTTTGTAGTATAACTTTATATACAGTATTGTGATCCTTCCAGTTTTGTTCTTCTTTCTCAAGATTGTTGAGGCTACTCAGGGTCTTTTTTGGTTCCATTTAAATTTTTGGAATAGTTGTTCTAGACCTGTGAAATATGCTGTTGGTATTTTAGTAGGGATTTCATTGAATCTGTAGATTGCTTTTGGTGGTATGGACATTTTAATGATGTTAATTCTACCACTCCATGAACATGGTATGTGATTCCACTTCTTTTTATCTTCCTCTTTTTCAATGTCCTATAGTTTTCTGAATACAGATCTTTTATCTCCTTGGTTAAGTTTATTCCCAGGTATTTTATTTTTTTGTTGTTGTGATGGTAAATGGAACTTTTTTTTTTCGTTTCTCTTTCTGAGAGTTCATTAATGAGGTATAAAAGTGCTATCAATTTCTGGATATTAATTTTGTATCCTTCTACTTTCCCAAATTCATTTATTAAATCTAGCAGTTTTTTGGTGGAGTCTTTAGGGTTGTCTATGTATAATATCATGTCATCTATGAATAATGACAGTTTTACTTACTCCTTTCCAATTTGGAAACATTTTATTTCTTCTTTTCTGATTGCTATGGCTAGGACTTCCAGTATTGTGTTAAATAAGAGTGGTGAAAATGAACATCCCTGTCTTGTTCCTGATCTTAAGGAAAACACTTTTCGTTTTTGCCCATTGAGTGTGATGTTGGCTGTGAGTTTGTCATATATGACCTTTATTATGTTGAGGTATGATCCCTCTATTCCCACTTTGCTGAGAGGTTTTATAAAAAGTGGGTGTTGGATTTTGTCCAATGCTTTTTCTGTATGTATTGATATGTTCATGTGAACTTTGTCTTTCATTTTGTTTATGTGATGTATCATGTTTATTGATTTGTGAATATTGTACCAGCCTTGCATCCCTGGAATAAATCCCACTTGGTCATGGTGTATGACCTTTTTAATATATTGCTGGATTCAATTTGCTAATATTTTGTTAAGGATTTTAGCATCTATGTTCATCAGGGATAGTGGCCTATAATTTTCTTTCTTTGGAGTGTCTTTAATGGGTTTTGGAGTTAGGATAATGCTGACTTTGTAAAAAGAGCTTGAACGTCTTCCCTCCTGTAGAATTTTTTGGAATAGTTTGAGGAGGGAGGCACTGTGTTCATTTTTGAAGTGATGTTTTCATTAAGATTTTAATTCGTAGCTGCCAAATAGTACCTGGAGCCACCTTAGGTTGCTGGTGTAAAGCCGCAGAGAGGAGGGCGTGGGGCACCCCAGAGATGCTGCTCCTTCAGAAGTGGAGCGCTAATCACCAGACACTCGGTGGGGGAAGGTGCTTCCTGTCCAGAGCCATGCCCGTGGCTGCCACGTGTGCTGCTCCTCAAGTTCTAGGCCCCCACGTGGATGCTGCTTTGGAACTGTGGCAGCTCCTCTCAAAGCTTGCTTCCAAGCAGAAGGGAAAAGATAGATTATTAAATGAACAGTCTGTAGGACACAGAAGCTAGAAGCCATAAAAGAAAAGACTAGTAAGTTTGACTGACCAAAAATTTAAATATCTGCAGAGCAAAGAATGGTGTACCATAAAGTAATTCAAAATAAAAATAAAAATTTAGGAAAATATTTGAGATTATATATAGAGAGAGAAGGCAAAGAGCTAATTTACTGAATGTATTTTTAAAGTTTTACAACAATAAGAAAAGGACCTACAACTCAATAGAAAAATGGGCAAAGGACATTTAGAGGCAGACAAAAGAAATGCACATGATTTATAAATATAAAGATAAATTGCCAACCACGTGAATTATTAAATAAATGCTAACTGAAACAGTTTTCACCTATTAGACTGTCAAAGATCGAAGAGCTTTTACACCAAACAGCTTAGGCGAGGCTGCAGGGAAAATGTGGTTGGGAGTCACGGAGGTTGGTGCAAACTCTTTGGAGGAAAAATGGACAATATTAACCAAAATTTAAAATTCAGATACATTTTTGACCTAGCAATCTCTTTGCAAGGAATTATTCTAACAAATTTATGTACAGGGATGTTCATACAAAAGTTGGAAATCACCTCAATGATTTTCAATAGCAAGTTGGCTAAATAAATGATGTACCTTCCCATGATGGAATAGTGTGCAGGATATAGGTATATACTGCCATGCATGTGAAATGACATTTACACAGACATAGTCATCACAACATTGTTTGTAAGCTGCACAAGATGGGAGGGACAGCCAGGCATTCTTCAATAGGGCTCAGGTCAAGTAGGCTGTGGTTCAGACCTGCAGTGATAGGAAGCCACTGCCAGGTGACTTGGGAGACAGATGGAAGCAGGTGGACAGGCCCATTGGGCTATGAGTGTGGCAATCACAGGGACACATACACATTGGTATGTGCTTTGACCACTTCAGGAGAAAACAGAGGAAGGTTGTGATGTGCCTGCCTCAGGGGAAAGGACCATGGTGTCTGGGGAACAGGGTAGAAAGGGGAGACTTGCTTTTCATTATCTACTCATTTGTACTCAGGACCTGCATATAATGATTTTAAAAATTATTGTTGATCCCAAAGAGCTTTAGTTTATATGGCTTCACTTTATTAATATTTACCATGTTAATGGAAGTTAGAAATTTTGAAAACACAGACATTCCATCGTCCATTAGAGCATTGATGATGTCAGAGCATCTTGCAGACTCTGGAAAACGCCACTTGTACACTAGTGAGAGATTAAGAGGGAGAAGAACAAGTGACACCTTAGTATTCTTAGGAAAATAGTTTTGATGTCATGACCCCCCTCCCCCCACTCTAGGGAGTCCCTGGACCACACTTTGAAAAGCACTGTTACATATAATGATGTAACATAGATGGTGACAATGAGGTTACCTAGATGGTAACAAAACCAAGCAGACCAGGGCTCTTGACACCAGTGCCCCAGTTAAATGCTATAGCTTGGTGTCATCAGTAATTTTTAAGATCATTATATGCAGGTCCCTAGTACAAATGAGTAGATAATGAAAAACAAGTCTCCCCTCCCCCTTACTGATGACAGAGAACAGCAGGCACTCTCGGTCCCCTCCTGTCACCTTCCTCCTCCCTTGCTGAGTGCTTGCATGTGACTGTGAACAGCAGTCTAGGAATGTGGCTTCACCCAGGTGTCTTGTTCCCTGGCCTGGGAGGCAAGCATGTGACCACCTTGCCTTGCAGCCCAGCCTCAGCCTCCTCCTCGGGTGATGCTGATAGGACTCATGGGAGCTGGCTGCAGAGCAGAGCTTATTTGGAAATAGGTTTTGGGGCCTGAGACTTTTGAGAGGTTCTGCTCAGCAGCCTGGACGGTAAGAGCTTAGGGAAAGCATCCTGCCCCATTAACAGACTGTCATGAGGGCTGCTAAGGCATTGGGGTTAGTTCGAGCCCAGCAAGACTTTTCTTCTGCCTCCTGCCTCTTACCTTCGGCATCACAGTTTCTGCCTCCAGTTGGCAGCATTACTTTAGAGATGGAGGAGCCATCCCTAAAGGTCTGGACCAAGTCTTGGAGGAATGAGACCCTAAAGAGGTGGGATGGAAAGAAGTCTTACACATTCCCTGACTTAAACCTCACAAGCACACCGTGGGATGGCTATTATTATCTCCACTGTACAGATGAGGTCACTGAGGCTCAGAGAGGTTAGTTCACCTGCCCAGGGTCACACTGCTAGTAAGTTGTTGAGCCACACTCTATTCTGTCTGACTTGATGCCCAGGGTCTTAACCAATCAGCAATTCTGCCCAGGACCCCTCACCTAGAAGATTTTCTTTAAGTTTCACTTCCTTGCCCCACCCATTTTGGAAGAAAGCATCCAGAAACACCTTAAAAATGTGGTGAGGCAGGAGCTAGGGACCTGCGCCTTTCTTTGAGTTCTTAATGAAGTTTTACTTGCAGGTAATGCTATACGAAATGAATCAGACCCAGTCTCACCACTCCCATGATCATCCCTGGGGAACTAAGGAATTTAGCGCTCTATGAGATGTGGGTCTGACATTCAGCTCAGAGACATGAATGAGAGACATGACAGTTAAACTGACCGATCCTCAGAGTCTCTGGGACTATGTCTTGTCTGTAGTTTGCTGTGTGACTTCAGCAAATCATTGCCTCTCTCTGTGACCGTTAGTTCATGTGTAAAAAGGTTTGGATGAAGAGGTTTTTTTCCTTAAACCAACATAAAAAATTCCCCCAGTTAATTCCACACTCCACATTATTAAATTCCACATTTAATTTGAGTGATGAGACGGGTTCTAATTAATTTTGAATAGAATTACCTGCAAATAACCTTATCAAGAATTGACTAGTGGAGTGTTGGTTATTATTATTTTTTTGTTGATTATTTTTCTTGGTGTAATTGTTTTTTGACGAACTTGTGCAGGGAGATGGCACAAGCCTGCACTCTGTGTTTGGTTTTCACAGTATGTGTATAAACAAGGCCATTTTTTATTTTTATTTTTGCACAAATATTCCAAGGCTTTGTCAGTTTTCCCAACAGCTTCAACTCAATCCTTTGATATTCAAATGATCTCTTTTGAAGCACCTATCATGTCATCACTTTTGGATTTTTCTCTTCATTTGCTATCAGCTGTAGCTCTCCCAGATGCTCATTTATTAATGACTTCATGTGTCTGATTTGAGCGGTTTGCCGATAAAACTTTCACCCACTTCACAAAAGCCTTTGCCATCTCTTAGCATTTTTGCATGTACATGGCAAAAACAGTCGACAAAGAACATAACATTTTTACCTCGGGGGAACTGCCTCATGTAAAAAGGGAAGTGGGGGCTGAAAAAGGAAAGAGGTATGGCAAAGCAAAGGTGGTCAGTTCCTTTAGTGAATACTTTTGTGTAATGATGACTCTCCCTTCTCTCTGCAACCTCGAAACTGAACCTTGGGGAGTGAATGCTCATAAAACAAAGACCATGGGAAAGCACTCAGCCAAGTAAATTTAGACAGAGAAAAGCAAATAGGTTTCACCCAGTGTGTCAGCTCTGATTGATTGCTAGTAATTGTCTAAAACATTGTGTTAAGAAGGATCCTGAGGCTCTTTTCAGCCTACTAGGGAAGAGTACCACAACTGATCAGAGATGTCTGATGAGGTGTGTGTGTGTGTGGGGGGGGGGGGGATGTTCAAGTAGCAGTCCGTGTGCCGACATACTCTGCACTAAGTACTCAGCAATTGCCAATTTTTCTGTCTTACAATGTGGCAATGCTGGGAGGGATATAAAAATAAAAAATTATGATCATTATTCGGAAGTAGTTCACAGTCTGAGAAAAGATAGAACGAAAACAGCGTTGGTTGAATATTTCTTCTGGTGACACCTGCTTGGCTGCTTGGGCAGCTAGGTGGTAAAAAAGAAGCCTAGTGGTTATTGGGAACAAACAGGACATTTTTGTTGTGACTATTTTTGTTTCTCTCTGCTCTCATGCAATTGTGGAATGTAAAACAAGGAAGTGGGATATGGCAGAAATGTTACCTCTTGTTGTAGCTCACAGGGTCTGTAGTTAGAAAGATTTGGACTTAATTCCAGCTCCAATATTTATTGAATGATAGTGGAAAAGTAAATCTGTCTAGATAGACCTCAGTTTCCTTATCTGCAAAAATGGGAATAATAATAGTATGTGCCACATTGGATAGTGATGAGCACTGTGTGTGTGCTCATAGCAATTTCCCCCTTCCTGAAATGGGGGTAGCAAATTTTTCTCCCAGGAAAGTATATGGTGCATAATCAAGGGTAATGCATGCAAAGTGCTAGGAGCTTGAGTGCCACCTAACCCATACATCAAAGTCCTGCCCCTAAGGTCACCCAGAGGTCACCCAGCCAGAGAGGGAATGTACAAAAGAAGTCAATGCGTCAGTGGGGTTACATCTTAGGATTCTTGGCTCTCTCTCTCCTGCTTCTCTCCAGGAATGTAGTCCTTGCTTAAATAATACTCCCATTCCCACTAACTATCTTAAAAGTGAATCAGAAGATACCAGGAAATACAGCATTCTCAGCATGCCTAACCTTTACTGAACTCTCTTAAATGCTTTTGTTTGAGGCAAAGTTGTTTTAATTCAAATCTATTCTATTTTTCAGTTTCAACCATCTCTATTTCACTCAAGCTAAGGGTGTATTTATTCTCCAGCCTGGGAGAGAGACTCAAGCTCTGTTGGTTTCATTTGCACTAAGGAAACCTAACAACAACACAAAAAAAAGCAGGGGGGTGGGGGGGGTGGGGAGAGAGATGGAGGAGATTAGTTGTTTTATAGCCTGAGTCAATGGGATGTTTGATTTACCATTTCATTTTGAGATTTTTCTTGTTGACATGAAGAGTTAGATTTTTCAGGGGTGAAAAATCAAGTGATCCAGAAGCAAAGGAGAGTGAAGATTAAACAGGTCACAATTTAAAAATATCAATAATGACTTTTGCAGTCAAAAGGGTAGTAAGATAAATGATATGACCCTTGATTACTCCCCTAACATAAACTGCCGGTGAGTACTCTTGGTAAATCTGGCATATCTGGTTCACTTGTAACTCCATCTTCAAGTCTGGGAGCATTAATTACAGGGCAGAGTAGAAGGAACTGGGAGGGAGAGGGCATCTTCGGTGCATTAAGGCGATGATATCAGGTTTAAGCATCTTCTGGGCTCTTGAGAGACAGACCTGGCATCTACCAGTCCAGGCTCTGCCACTTTCTAGTAGGACATTGAGCCGTAACTCTCAACACTTTAATCTTCTCAACTGCAACACACAGATCTTAGTGGTGCTGTTATTAGGCAGGCCAGGCTGCTACGCTTCCACTCAATAATGAGAAATTAATTATACTTAACACTCAGCATCCTGTAGTTCACTAGCCCCATTTCATTGCCTATGGTCACCTGGTAACCAGAACAGCCAAGATTCCAGCACAGATTTGAATGAACAAAATCCCTTTCTTGGTTCGGTACATCTCACTGATCTTAGGGGTTGGGGCTGTAGGTACCATGCAGAGTTGCTGCTCAACCAGGCTGAAAGCAAAGTCATTCTCAGGTAGTCCTGGTGCAGCCTCTCTGGAAAGTAAGCAAAAGGAAAATTACTTAGGTGGCATATACTACCAATCGCAATTTTTAGAAGGTGCCATTACTCTTTGTTAATTGGAAAAATAAATATTTTTCCCCTTTTTACATTGTTTAGGCTTCTTGTGCATGATCTATTTCCATGTGGGCCTTGGTCTTCTATGTAATATGAGCACGTAGAGGGGAAGGCACCTCTTGGTCTTTTAGTCCTGGAGCTGAAGCCAGCCCCGGGTCCGTGGCCTCTCCATGACATACGCACACTAGCTCGCTGTGGCCCGGGGGCTGCTGTTAGTTCTGCTGCCCAGTGAGTGGAAGTGAGCACTGGCTATAATATTACTCCTAGCTCAAAGCCAGCCAGCGCTTAGCTACCCAACCCTCTCAGCTCTTTTTGCCTAACTTGCTCTGAAGCAGTGCTTTTAAAATTTTAATGTGCATAAAGCTTCCAGGGATCTTGTTCTCAGGCAGATTCTCATTCAGTAGCTCAGGGTTGGGGTCTGAGATTCTCAGATTGTATCGGGCTCCGGAGGGGCGTCAATGCAGCTGCTCCTCAGACCACACTTCGATCGCAATAACAACTTACCAGCTTTTCTGGCCGGGCCAACGTGGAACAACTTGAAGCCATATAGTTCTAAAAGAGATTTTAAAAAACAATGAAATAATAGACTATAACCATGCACAAAATGGTTTACTGAATAGCTTGCTCTTTAAAAATATTGCCCCCACCCAGCCTTTGAGAATGCATCGAGAGGCAGCTGCCATGCCAAGATTTTTTTTTTTGCTGGATTTGCAGGTGTGTTTTATGTTCTCATGTGCTTATATTAGCTTTTACCTAGTGCTTCATATCTGGGTTTCTCAGAGAGCAGTGCCTCTAATTCAGTGGTTCTCAACCTGTGGGTTGCGACCCCTTTCGTGGTCAAACGACCCTTCCACAGGGGTCACCTAAGACCATCCTGCATATCAGATATTTACATTACGATTCATAACAGTAGCAACATTACAGTTATGAAGTAGCAACGAAAATAATTTTATGGTTGGGTCACAACATGAGGAACTGTATCTAAAGGGCCAGAAGGTTGAGAACCACTGCGTCTAATTTGATCTCCATGTTAACCATCGACTGCTGATGGATGGCAAACGAGGTGGACATTCTCCTGTGTGTCTCACAGTGAGCTCTGGCCTTGGCAGCTGTCTGCAGTGGTGAAGTTTGGCTCATGGAACCATGGTTTCCTGGCCAGGAGCTTGGCGTCCCCGCCCCTTCACACGGGTGAAAGGCTCCATCAGCCTTGACCACTCAGGATCTCCTTACTCACAGCTTTCTCTGTCCCGTTGTTTCTGCAAGTCAACGAGCGTTGGCTATCAGCAGGCACTCTGGAACATTAGCCCCAGTGTTCTTCATATTTTCACTCCCTTCCCAGCAGATCTAAGCAGTGACTGGCCTGCTTCTGCCAGGGAGACATGAACGTCCCTTCTGGGGGAGGTATGGGAAGTTCAGTTACTTCAGTCATTTCTTTAATGGCACCCTCTTCCCTCCCACCCTGGCTGCAAACAGCTGAAAACACAGCAAAAAGTTGGAAGACCCTCAGAGAGAAATCATTGGCAACACTGTTTTTCCAGGTCTTACTTCCTTACTGAGCCTCAAAGCCATAATCCAATGCTTTCCTGCCACCATTCTGATGATACCTATTTCGTGGATTCGAGAAGCTTTGTGGGTCTCCGTAGTGCATAATGCGGGGATGGAGAACGAAGGTGTGAGGTGAACTCTCCATTTGGTCTTTATGCCCCTGGCACAAAGCTGGGTGCCATGGCAACCACTTGACCTTGGAGATGGGTCTACAAAGGGCTTTTCCTGTAAGTCAGCAGCATCACCGATGGACTGCTACAGGGATAAGAAAATTAAAAAAGAGTTTCCTGCCAATCACCAAGACCTGTCACTTCTTCAAAATGCTTTCTGTGTACAGTCTCTACCCTCCATCTGCACTGACTGTGCCCACCCCACTGCGGTTCTGCCCTCCTCCCCACACCCCCCTCTCTGTGCCTTGCAGCCTGCAACCTCTTAGCACACACTTGCAAGAAAAACCTCCCCAACACACTGCTCCCCTGTGCTGTTCCTCCACTTAGAAACTGAAAATAGCTCTGCATTGCCTTGGAGATGGAGCACGAGTCCTTCCCATTTCAAGGAGCTCCGCAGTCTGAGTTCCTGGCTGGCAGCCTCACTCCCACCACTCCACGGCGGGCTCGGGTCAGCCTCGCCATGCTCTCTGCCCCTCTGAGCTGGCCTTTGGGCCTCACTGTGCTCCATCTGCCCAATTTCATTCTTTGGGGGCTTGAAAAGCCTTTCTCCGTGGCTTGCAGATGGCCTCCTTGCTGTGGCCTCGCATGGCTGTCCCTCTGCTGCACATGCCTCTCTGGTGTCTCTTTGTGTGTCCAGCTTCCCTCTTCCTTATAAGGACACCGGTCAGATGGGTTTAGGCTCCACCCCAATGCAATCACCGCCAAAGGCCCTACCTCCAAATAGATTAATAGAGGCACTAGGGGTCAGGGCTTTAACATATGAATTTGGGGAGACCCAACTCAGTGCTTCAGAGGCAGTATCTTTCTCCCTCACTTGCATCCCCAGCACCTGATCTCATGTCCGGCTCATGGAAAGCAGGACTCCAGGTTTGTTGTTGGAATGCCTGTCCCTGAACGTCCTGACCCTCGTCCCCCATTATGTGAGGCCTGGTCTAGCCCTGCCCAACCTGAGAGGACTCCCAAGCCCTGGCTGACTTTTTCCTCTGACCGTCTCTAGCCTATACTTATGCACAGGCCCATGGTGCCCACTCTTTCAGGGGTTCAGCCTTGACCCCTTAACTAGAGTGGACGATGGGGCTGGGACTCCCAGGGATCAGGCCCAAAGAAGCTGCTCTAAAACACTCCCTTCCCTTAGGATCTGGATCCACCACAATGAAAAGTCCTGTTGATGAGTTCCTCGTGGGAGCTCCAGCCGGGTCCAGGGAACGGGCCCACGCACACCCACCGGCCCCGCAGAGCAGGAGCTGGGCGTGTGGCTGCTTTAACGAGTAACCCTCCTTTATCCTGGAGAGTCACACGGACCATGATGGGAAACACCATCTGCTCATCAGCTTCCCCATAATGATGGACACATTTTCTACCTCGAAGCAGTTCAGATCCGTGTGGATTTTGTTTTGTTTCCAACCATTGTTTTCCTGCCAGCCCTGGGAACACGTCTTCTGAAACACAAAGAGTTAAGGCTGGTTATGTATTGTACACATTCCCCGGCAACTTAATTATTGACCCGGCTTGTAAATCATTCATAGCTTTCCAGAGGTATCCATATACTTCTGCTGGCTGGAAACGGGACCCTGGGCTATTTGTGGAATGGAGGTTGGGGTCAGAGAGAGTGTGAAAAATTAAGAATAACAACACTTCCTTTCCTCCCTGAACTTTAATTGCCCTTTTCCATAAAGCCAATGCTTTCTTCCTTTCCTACCTGCGCAGAGAACCGCAGTGAACTGCCAAAACAGCTTTAGTTTCACTCACCATTCTCCCCGCCGCCGGGCCACCCCAAGGAAGGCAGGTGACTTCTATTTCACCTGGGAGTGAAGGAGCAGGGACGGCCCTCTTGCCCAGCGTCCCTCTGGGTTCAGCCAGGGCTTTGGGGAGGTAACATTTTAACAGTTAAAGTAACTTGTCTAATCCGATCCCTTCGGGACTGGATAAGAAGCAACGGCTGGCCTGCCAGTGAGGCGTTGGGGCGGATTTGTGGTTAACCGAGGCCGCACACCCAGGAAGCAGCGAGAGGGGGTTTATCCTGGCCATGCCTGGGGTGGGGGGTGGGGGGGCGGGACACAGCACCTCTGTGGTGTCACGTATCAGCTAGGCCTGCTTACTCTCAAGTGAGGGGAGAGGTCCAGTCAGGTCTCTAGGCTGGCGGCAGGGCTCAGCTTCAATGCAGTGAAAACAGACACCAAAATAATCAAAGCGCTGCATTCCTGCGTCTAAATGGCAGCTAATCCCCACTCCTGTGAAGGAGCAGAAGCCGCAGGTGACAGTGAAGCCCTTAGCAGAATGAGCCCTTGGTTCCTTGGTGCCTAAGTCCTGCAGTTCTCTGAACTGGAAGGAATCCCGAAGATGGCCCAGTCCACCCTGCAGACGAGGGGACGGAGGCTGCGACGTGCTCACACGTTGCTTTTGGGTGACACTGATGAGGAACTGGAACCTGGTTCTGCGATCTGCCAGTCCAGTGCTTTTTTCCCCATCAAACCAAGAGCTGTTTTTCTGAAATGGGTCTTATAAGGCTTTTTTACTCAGGAGTTTAAATGAATACAAGGTGGAAATAGGCCTATTTTCTTTAACCTACAAATGAATGGCATTTGAAGGTAAACAGTTGGATATGTAAACTGCCAAGAGATGATGTCATAATTTCCCGAAGCTAGAGACAAATCATTCTCGACCTGTTCTGTGAGCACAGCCCAGTTCCCAGTCAGCTCCAGCCGAGCGTGTCCGGGGGGCACATTGCCTCCCTGGGGAAAACTACTGGGAGAGCCCGGCAGCTCCTTTGTGCTTCAGAATTGCTTCTTTGTTTCCCTTGCGCGTGCTGGGGCTCACTGGTGTGGGGCGGGGAAGATCCGGGAGAAGAGATCTGTTGGGAATGTTTAATAAGCTTGGAGTGTTTTACAAGCATCCTTGCAGGCTGCACGACAAGATGCGGCATTGTGACTACTTGTCCCCTCATAGAAGTTTCGAAGAGCCGGAGATTGCAAAATCAAACTGCGCAGGCAGGCGGCCCTCAAAGCCTCGTGTCAGCCAGCCACTGCCTTGCTCGCCAACCTCATTTGTCACCTTTGGGAACATCTGTTGGAGCCAAGCAGATCCTTTTTCTAAATTCCATTCTTGCTTGTTACCACTTCTGGCCCGTTGCTATTGACACGTTAATGTATTCATTTAGTATTGATGGAAATCCTGCAAGGTGGGTTTATCATGCCAGATGTTCAGCTGAGAAAACTGAGCAAGTAAGTGACTTCCTCAAGTTCACATAAGCAGTAGTAGTATCACTCGGGCTGTCTTCATTCCACAAGGCCTCTTTAGCAAATCACAGTATCCTAAAATTAAAAAAACAAACACCCTCTTGACCTTAGTTTAGAACTCTGTTTAGAAAAGTACATGACCAGAGAATGTTGCTGACCGTCAAGAGAATTCACACTGTGTGATTTTAGTCCTGTGTCTGCAAATTGTGCGTGCGTGCGTGTGTGTGTGTGTGTGTGTGTGTTCTGTGTCTGCAAATTGTGCGTGTGTGTGTGTGTGTGTGTGTGTGTGTGTAATGGACTGAATATTTGTCTCCCTCCTGCCCCCAGTCCATATGTTGTAATCCAAACACCAATGTGATAGTATTAGGAGGTGGGGCTTCCTGGTAATTAGGTCACGAGGGTGCAACCCTCACTAGTGGAATTAGTGCCCTTATAGGAAGATGCACGAGAGAGCTGACTCCTTTCTCTCTCCTTGCCATGTGAGGATGCAGGGAGAAAGAGTGCATACACCAGAAGGAAGGTTCTCATCAGAACCCCACCATGCTGGCAGCCTCCAGAACTGTGAGAAAGAAATGCTTCTATTCTTTAAGACACCTAGTCTGTGGTCATGTGTTACAGTACCTTGAAGAGCCTAAAACTACATACATATCTCATCACTGCTTTCCTGCCAGGGTGAAGCCTTGGTTGGCTTGAGGATGAAGCAAGTGACTGCGGCTGCAGGGCTGTGTCCGAGCTGTGGGCTCTTGAAGCACGCTGCTTGCTAACTTGTTTGGGGGAGACCTTGTTTGCTCCCAGAGTCTGGGTGTCTTTCCCTGACTTAGCTGGTTCACAGAGGATATATGAACTCTGAAGTAAGGGAAGCCTTTCCGGAAACACAGATGAAAAACGCTGCCTGAATGCACAGCAGAAATGCCACTTCAGGCTCTTGGCCTCCCGCAGTTCTCTCTCTCCACACCTTTGTGGCTTCGAGCAATTTGTGGAGGCTCCAACCCCAGGTCCTTCTCAGGCCTTGCCCCTCTGCCAGTTTTGATGCTTCTGCCAAGCCAAGCGGAGGAGCTCAGCAGCCCTCACTCCTCAAGGCTGGCCTGCCTGGGTCAGGGAAGTGAAAACCTGCTCCAGAGCACATGTATTATAACATTTTATTTAAAAATTTTCTTCAAAAATTATAAACTTGGCTTCACAGATATTAGAACACTGTTGTGGCCCTAAGAGCTGGCATAATACCTGGGGTTTATGAGGAATGAATTATACGATGTTTTTCCATACTGGAGTTAGGGTGTAACCTTTATATGAGGGAGGTCATTATTTTCTTCCCCCCCCCCCCCTGCAAATTATCTAACATTAAGTCTCTATTACTCAGACTATTAAGAGATATAATTTAATGCATACCAGCATTTATAATTTGTTATTGTTACTTGCTGCATTTATTCAATCAAGTTTTACATTTCCTCATCTTAATTTTCAAAGCATGTGCTATTTAATATCTTATACTAGTATTTACTCTCTTAAAAGAAATAAATAATACATTAAAAAATCCAACAAAAGATGGTTGAAAGATATATTTTTTATGAATGTGTGGCCCTGGATTCATTTCCGCCTCTGAATTGGGTTTCTTATGCTGGTCTCAGGATAAATGAAGTTATCTTGCCTCTCTGTCAGGGAGGGTGCTCAATGGACTAGACATTGTTCGGTGGGAATGTCTGCAGCCTTCCTGCCTTTCCCAGACAACCAAAAATAATGCTGCCATGGCCTGCCCAATGTCCTCTCTTCTTTCCCCTCCTTAAAGGAACTGACTTTATTCTTTTTTAAATCACTGGGATAAGGTTGTATCATTATACACAATCAAGAGCTGGGAAGAAGAGAGGAAAGAGAAGGAAGACACAAGTGAGGGACTCAGCTTGGGAAAAGGCCTGGGGGATTGTGGAGAGAGATGCATGAGAACAAATGCAATGGATGTGAGTGAAATGGGGCGGGTAGGAGCGGGCGGGGAAGAAAGATTTCATAAATGTTGCAATAGACTTGCCTTCTCTTTATGCTTTCCAAGAACCTCAAATAAAGAATGTGAGTCTTTGCAAATATCACATGATCTCACTTATAAGTGGAATCTAATGAACATAATAAGCTGACGAACAAAATAGGTCCAGAGGCATGGAGGCATGGAACAGAATGACAGATCTCATAGGGAAGGGGGGCGGGTGGAGACCGGAGGAGCTTAACCAAAGAACTTAGACACATATATGCATACACAATGGACACAGACAATAGTGTGGGGAAGGCCTGGGGTGGGGCAGGGGCTGGGAGGAGGTGGGTAAAGCAGGAGGGTGGGGGGAATTGGGGGACATCTGTAATACTGTCAGCAATAAAAATTTTAAAAAGTCTTGTCTTAAAAATAAAGAGAATATGAGTCTTTGAAATTCCTTTGTGCACTGGACTGTACTTCTATCGTGGTCCTTGGTATGGGGCTTCAATAAGTCTAGACATAACTCATTCTTACTTTAATTAATCTGAGGAATCTGAGAAAAAACTGTTTCATTACCACGAGTGAGAAACGTACTTATGTGAGTAGTGAGGATGTATGGTACTTACTCCAAGTATATTGACTGGAATCATGCTTTTTAGATAAGCTTCAAAATATTTCAGGTTTGCTCTATCCTCCTGTCTGGAGAATCTCATGAGGACCACACACCTGTCTTGTAGAAAGCAATCAAACAATTTTTTGGAGGGAATGGTGATTTGTTGATGTCTTTTCAAATTGTGCCTTTTAAAAAAAATTAGAGAATTCCCACGGCCATAAATGATCTAAAAGATGTGGTACTATTTTTGTCTATAACAGAAATATCTTTAACAATTTTTTCCCTGTGCGTTTTATTAGCGATGTTGTTTATGGTATTTATCAGGTTCAAAAATGCATCTTAGGCCACGTTCACCAGCTCAGCCTGCAGGAGTGCTCAGAGTCCAGCAGGTATGCGGTGCCCCCCTCACCTGCCAGGAGCTCAGAGCTGGCTTCCTTCTCATCCTGATGGAAATGGTACACTCTTAATTTGAAGGCAACTGACTCACATTTTATGTTGATCTGGTTTTTCTTCTTTTTCACTGCTCAGGTATTTCTGACCTCATCAAGAAGTTTGTGAAAGACAAGTTTCAAGTGATTAATGGACTGGGGCTTATTTTTGCTATTTATCGTTTCCCTAGTTCTTTTTAGAACAGAACACCGAAACCTACCTGTAGTTCCCAACTTTCTCTTCTCCCCCATTTTAATCATTTACTAGTAACCAAGTTTTGTCTATGCAAGACCTCATGCTCCGATTCTCTGGCTTTCTCCATTATCTGAAGCATTTTCCCTTCCTATCTTCCCAGCACATCTCCTGGCCCTTGAACTATAGCTGGGGTTATGCTAAAATTTTCCCGGTCCTACCAAGCTCACTTAATCCAGGAGGACTCCCTGATTACCTTGGTTTGGATGGAAGGGAGTGTGTGCTCTCCTCAGAACTTCTTAGATGTTTGCTTTGTTTTGTGTATATGGCTACTTTCCCCTCTAAGCTGTTGGCTCCTGAATATGGTGTCTGTATATCAGTTATTTCCTTCCCACTGGGAAGCACCATCCAGGTAATCAAAGGTAGAAGTTGACTTTGGTAGGAGATGCACTGTGAGCTTTTGCCAGGGTCATTGGAGGTGGCAGGGCACGAGGTCCAAGTTAAGCCAGCGTCAATAGGAAGCCTGGGGTCCAGACCAGGGTACACAAGAATGCGTGTAAAATCTAAGGGGTCCCAACCTGAATCAGGGCCTCAGAACCCAGAGTCTGGAGTTTGGGAGACAAAATTAAGGTGAAAGAAGATTGGTATCAAGGCTAGAGTGGGAGGAAGAAAAATGTCTAAGCAATCTTTTGGAACCATAGCTACCATGTGCTTGAATCTAGTTGGGACGTAGTGTGTGTGGCAAACATACCTGAGAGGCAAGCAATACATAATTTGTCAAATAAATGAATGAGTAAGCATTTGTAAAGATGCTTCCTGTTTCAAGAACAGGCAGCCTGGTTGAATGTCCGAGTAGAAGGGTCCAGTGTTGCCTGGGCTTTTGTTGTTCCGGGTAGAGAATATACATTTCCATGTGTCTCCACAGGGCATTTTAACTTTGCTCATCTTCTACCACTCCAATCAGTACACAGTTAAACTTGATATTCTGTTCAATCAACAAATTCCAAGTTCAGTCAGGTATAGCTTCTCTGAGAGGTAATCAATACATACTTCTCTATCAGTCAGGGTCCAATCAAAGATGCAGAACCACTGTGAGTGACATACCTGAGCAGTACAGGGGTCCTGCCTTTGCCCTTGTATGAGTTGGGGGAGGTGGTCTATGGTCGCCGTTGGCCCTGCATCTAGTGTTGAGCCTGAAGTCACTACGGGTCAGCCAGATGGCTGCTGAGAAGGGAGCTGGGAATGGATAAGAGCGAGGACAGACAGACCCTGGAAAGAAAAACTGGAACCTGTAACTCCCTTTCATCAACTCTAGCCTTGCCTCTGCATGACCTGCAGGACAAACTGCTGCTCTTTGCCATGGAGCTACACTTGCACCTGGCCCAGGACTCAGAGGAACTGATGGAAGAGATCTGGCAGGAGCTGGAGGAACTGTGATCTGGGTGTTGCCTCAGGATAACAAGCCAAGCCGGCAGGTCAGCAACAACGTTCAC